GTTAGGCTGTAGAAATTTAATGAAAGTCAATGGAATGTCCCCATATGTATAGGTGGACACACGTGTGTGTGTGTGCGTGCGTGCGTGCGTGTGTGTGTGTGTGCGCGTGTGTTGCTGTTTTTACTGCTTGCCTGACCATCATGTGATGACATCACACTCACCTTTCCTGCATCCTGTGTGCAGCTTCCTTCTCAGTTTCCCACATTTTCTCTGTGACCTTTTGGTCTCACAGAGCAGCCAGTGTTTTGTCATTTTACAGGAACATTCTGTTATTTTGCCTCTTCAGCCACAGAAACTTGATACATTTGGGTTCCTCTGTGTCTGGCATGAAAGAAAACTGATCCCAATCCAAACTGTGACTCAGAACACCCAGTCCCGAGTCTGCCTGGTCCTTAAAGCCTTGATCTCTTTTTAGAAGTGTCCCTCAGTGGGAAGTTGATTCACAGATTAAATTTTCAGACACACACTGTCTGCAGAACCTCTGATGGTTCTTACCCTCTTTCTGTGCCTCACTTCAATAATGTCTTGTCTTTCTCTGCATTTGTCACATATAAGATGAATGTTTACGTTGTGAACAGAAACTGTTTTTGTCTAAGTAGGAAGTGACTGCAACTCTGCTCTGTAAATCAGAAAGGAACCCAACCAGCTAATCTTCTGACTCCAATCAGGTTCACAGAACAGCACTCAGCACACAGGCCTCAGCAAGACCTTCGGCTGAACCAAAACAAACAGACAAAAGCTCTGCTCTGTGTAGACACTCTGCAAAACACTGACAACTTCTTACTGTAATAATGAATTGAGCTTATAATGTATCTTACTTTCTGCTTACACCCCAGGAGGTATTACCTTTTAGGTCAGAACGTCACTCAGTTTTGTTTTGGCTAAGAAAAAGAACACATGATAACACACATACCAACTCCTTTTCTGTTATGGCCTTAAAGCTGCAATGATCAGAAAGTAAAAAAACGCAATACTGAATCTAATATTCAATTAATCAGTTACAAAATTTCTTCAAAAATATTTATGATGTGCTTCTGTTATTCAGGAGATTATAAAAAAAAATCCTTCATTTTATGGAGAGACCCTCTTGATTCAAGAGAAAACTCGTTTTTTAAGAAAATGGCTGCTTATCAATTAATTGTTAGTCAATTTATAAGATAAATCAACTTCAGATTAATTCATTAATCAATAACTTGCATCCTTAATTTATTCAGGAATGAAATTAATTTATATCTATGGTACTCATATTCATGTAATTAAGCATTTTAATGATTTGTCCGATTGATCGAAAAAATAATCAACAGATTAAATCGATTTTTAAAATAATCGTTAGTTGCAGCCCTAGTTCTGAGTTATAAACTGCAGCTACTTAATATATATATTACAAAATAAGAGCCTATTCTGCAGCTGCAGGAGCGGGGATCATAGGTGGTTCTAAACTGGGGTGAACAGGGGCAGTGCCTCTGTAAAACTGGTCGTGGCACCAGTACAGTTATGATGTGAAAGGAGGCCTCTGATTCAGGAATTGAAGAGTTACCTAATGTTTATGTTTTAGTAAGTTTTTACAGAAAGGTTAGCAAATGTTGACTGTAATGTTGCGACACTGAGCCTAGATGGGGACATAATGGTGCGAGAAGGTATAAATGTACTCACCACTTAATATTCTAAAAGGAACACTCAGACCACTTTCATCAACAGAAACCAGAACAATACACCATTTTTTAACCCCCAAGAGCTATTAATACACTATTTACACCTGTCTCCACACCCATAGTTACCATTCAACACAACCTAGCTTTAGATATTTGAGCAAACAAACCCCAGAAAAATGCTTTATATGTATTTTTACAAATAAAATACAGTTATAAATATTTTAGTAATGCTGCGTTCACACCAAACGTGTTTTGAGCATCACTTCCCGACATTTACATGCAAAGTCTATAGTGGAAGCGCGTTAAGGAGTGTCGGGAAGTGCTGCCGTGCATCTAGTGCAGAGTGTTTTTATGCATTTTGAGCATTTGACGCATGTTGAATGCTGGAGTTGGAGAATCTAAACTTCTGCAGCTCGATGTGGAGCGTCAACCAGAGACACTCCACTATGTGATGTAGTGGCACATTTTCCGATGGGATGGTTTCCTGAATGATGCCCACTAACCTGAGACAGATGAATAGGAGCTCTTTAGCTGAAATCGAGTATCTGTAGTCAAGTGTTCTGGCAAGAGGTACCGATGCCGAACCTGACAGTTTGTCTTAGCTAAAGCAAAAGCCTTTAGCGTTGGCTTTTTATAACGTTTTTATTTAAACTATAAAACTAAAAAACTGTAAATGCTTATGTTAAATTTTGTGTTTTACAAGGTGCAGATCATGTGGCCTCCTCATTTCCAAACATCCCCCCTGTCCTCCCAGCCCCTGACATGATGGCTCTGGTCATGTCTCAGCTGCAGCCAATCCTGGAGGGCTTCAACCACTCTCTAGAGTACCTGAGCAAACAGATGGAGGTTCTTGTCCAGGATGTGGAAGAGCTGAAGAGCAGCCAACCGAGGAGGGAACAGAAGGAGAGGTCAGAAGAGGACAAACTGGAAAAAGTGTTCCAGCAGATTGGGAAGGCCCAGAGACAAATGGAGGATCAATGCAGGAACATGGAGAACATGCTACACTCCCAGCATACACAGCTTCACCAGAACCTAAGCAGGTTTAAGATGAATGTCAACCTAAAGCTGGAACACCATCAGAAGCTGCTGCAGGTGAGATATCTGCTGCAGATTTTAATCTATAAATTTCTTCATTTTAAATCAAACAATAATTCCAGAAGCTTTCACTAAAATAAATCTTTGATCCAAGGTCAGTCTGCAGACCATGAACACAACATTAACTGAGCTGAAACTGGATCAGGATCAGTTTCCTGACCAGAAACTAGAAGATGAGCTGCCCTCCACTGCTCTACTTCATCCTGACCCTCCAGACACAGGGGCGCTGTGGGAGGCCATCACACATCTGGACAACATGGTGGTCAACAATACAATGAAGGTTTGAACAGTCAGAACTTAACCAAAGGGCTGATTTGTCAAAGATTTTTGTGTGTAAAAAGACACGCAAACTTGATAGTGTGCACAAAGCTGATTTATTAACCATGTGCCAACAATTGCGTCTGTCAAATATACAAAACAGCAGGTGCAATCTATTTATTGTGTTACTGTACAATACTGCGATGAAGACATACAAATAAAAGCATTTAGCAAACTGACTTCACTGCATCAGATGCTGCCGGTTATCCAATCTGCTGCAGTGTATAAAAGTAATAAAATAAAAACTAACCCAGCACTGCTTAGCAGCTTCAAAATGAAAACATATTAGAAATGTTTGTGAAACATGTTCAGTGTCACCCTCCTTTTTTTCTCAGCCTATTAATGAATTTAAAACAATCACAAAACAAAATTACATCCACTCAGTCTAAAATAAATGTTTTTTTCTGTGAAAAAAAGAGTGAAAGCTCGCAGCAGAACTGTAAGATGCAGGCTGCCATTCAAGAAGCAGAATCACTAATTGGATATATAATCAGATTTGTGCTTGAAAAAACATGATTCTATGTTGTATAGACTGTTATATGTTGAGCCAAATATGGATTGGACCCCTTTCCTTGTTAATACGTATACCTACATACCTGGAATGGCACTCTATGTTTCAAAAACAAGTTTATCAGGTTTGGGGAGGTTTAGTGAGAGTGGTCTTCTGTCAGGAGATTTGTTTTTCTTTCTGAATCTTCCTCCAAATGCAGCCTGCATTACAATATTTGCATGCTGGCAATATTCACTCTGATCATTCAATAATCTCTATTGTATTTCTAACCTTCCATTCATCTCCAAAATTCTTGATAAAGTTGTCATCTTCTCAACTTAATTTCCATTTAACCAAAAACGTTCAGCATGAATTATTCCAGTCTGGTTTCTGCACTGGTCATAGCAGAGAATCTGCTCTCCTGGGAATCACAGATTACCACATATTGCATTGGTTCTCAACCATTTTTGGGCCAGCGCGCCCTCCTAGCCATTATTGAGCACCCCCCTTCCCCGCTAAAGGAGTCGTAGACTACCTGCTTTAAAAAGGATTTTTAATTATTATAGTTAAGTTGTAATGATTATCATTGCTTCTGATCAATTAGAAAAAAGCACTTCACTGAATGACAAAAAGGTGTTTTTGATTTCGTGGGAACAAGAAAGCCATGTTAACATTTACATTTACATTAATTATCACAAACCGCAGCCAATCAGAAACGGCTAGCAACACACAACAGCCTGTTTTCCTGTGTGGCACCTCCCCCAGTTTACCCACCAGGACACCGATGGGTCTTAGAGAGGAGTCAATGTCCCCCTTTTGTTTTGGAGGCGACAGACCAGACTTACAACCACCTGGGGTGGCCTGTGTGGCTGAGTCAGGTGTGTCTCCTCCGGGAGACAGGGGCGGGAGGCTTTAAGCTCGGCCTCTAGCTGCCTTCTCTCTGGTGGTCGCTCCCTTCGTTACCCCCAGCCTCTGGATCAGCGCAGGAGCTCAGGACGCCTCCAGCAGCCGGACACCACTGTTAACGGCAGCCGCTCCCTCTTAGGATCTGCTCTTCTTACAATGACCGACATAATGTTTAGTGACCTGGACAGTAGGTCTCAGGGGAACTGTTAAAGGGAGTTATCCTATCTCACCAGGCTAATAACCAGTAAAAATGAACTTTTATTAATTTATGACCCCTTATCATTACCTTTTGGCTTCAAAGTAAACACACACCTTAATATGTTAGTACCTTGTTGCTTTGAAGTAACACACTATAATCAGAGAAAAACCTTAAACATCAATGTCCAGGCATGTAACGGTCTTATCAGATTTACAGATTGGGGTCAACGTGAGCAGTTACCAATGACAAACAGAGGCAGAGACAAAGCGTACAAAAGGTAAGTGATTTTATTTTTACATGTGCAGGAGGGGTCTGGACCTGGAACAGAATGATTGCAGAGGTGAGTATTTGAGATTCTTCCAGTAATGGTCTTAAGCAGGCAAGTAAAACAGGTGAGTTCTTATGGGCTGGGGGAAGGAGATGAGGCGTGGAGGAGTTGGTCCAAAAAGGTGAGGATCCAGAGGTGAGTATTTACAGTGATACGTGGGAGGCAGCGCATGAGATTCTGGTGAGAGGCTCTGGGTCCAAGGCGGCTGGCAAAACGTGCTGAAGATTGCTTTCTGCAAACAGGTAAATACACAGACAGAGACAGAGACAGAGACAGAGACAGAGACAGGGACAGGGACAGAGACAGGGACAGGGACAGAGACAGAGACAGGGACAGAGACAGAGACAGAGACAGAGACAGAGACAGAGACAGAGACAGAGAGAAACAAGCAGCAGGCTGAGCTTATACCAAACATGAGGCGATGCTTCAGGGATGAGTTGATCTTCAGCACTGCCTTAAGAAGCCTGGAGGTAATGAGCCAAATCGCATGCAGGTGTGGGTGATCAGCGCTGCCACCAATCATGGAGGTAGGGGGTGGAAACACCAAAATGCCTCAGGTCTTTTATAATGCTGAAAGCAGTTTATTAGAAATTTGCAAGGAAAAGCCACATTTGATTATGCAAATTACAATTAATAATAGATGGTGGTAAAAATAAAAAGCTCTATAATAAGCTCTTACTGATCTAACCTTGTGATTAGGCTGTGTGGAATTTTCTGTTAATTTAGACGGCAAGGCAAAAAAAAAAAAAAAAAAAAAAAATAATAATGGTGTGGAAAGGATGGCTAAAGGGGGAGAAGGG